ATTTTTTTTCTGTTGCTCTTTAAGATAAAACACCAAACCCCATAATTGGCTTCCCCTTGCTGTTTTCCATTGTCTGTCTTCTCTTTAGCTTTCACCCAAAACTGTACAGTTTGCCCCCCCCTAAAAAAATACATACATACATACACACACACACACACACACACACTTCAGCAGTTTGATATTAATAAATGTCTGGAATCTAATGGCCACCTCTCTGACGCACTTTTTGAATATTAATGTCATGTTTTTCAGTACAGTATCCTCAGTATGCTGCCATCTTTATTCTGGAATTTTGCCACGGTGCTATGACTATTATATAATATTAACATCATAAAACAAAATTTGGTAGAGTAGCTCCATCTAATAGTTACTCAATCCCCAGTACTGCAATAAATAAATGTTACTAATTAAATATTAATAAAGTTGTAATTGAGATATTAAATGTACTCAATATCAGGGTATATTCATATGCTCCATTATGGTGGAACCAGGGATTGAACTCAGGCCCTTGCGCTTGCCAGGCAAGTGCATATTCTACTGAGCCATCTCCCTGGCCCTCATATACTCCATTATGGAAAGCATGAAATCACCATCCTCACATATTCTCCTTCCAATGTCCTTTACAATACTGCTAAGTCAATCAAAGTCACAACTTCCTTATGAATAACTACCAAGACTATTATTATACAGTCTTGGATTGGTGATGTAGCTCAGTGGCAGAGTGTTTACTTACCATGTGCTCAGGCCCTAGGTTCAATCCTCAGTACCACAAACAAATAAACAAATAAAATTATATAGTGTCAACATACCCTTTTAAGAAGTTTCTCCAAGTGGTGACATTTTAGGTAGTTACAGTGCAATGTCAAAAAACAAACTACACTGGTACATTTCTCTTAACTATACTATTCAACACCATTTTTAAAAGTAATTCATTTACATGAATATATATAATCCTATGTATTTTTATCTTGTGTATACATTCATGTCATCACTACAATTAAGATGTAGAACTTTCCCATCATAACATATGAACTCTCTTACATTACTGTTTATATTTACACTCACCTCCCACATATCTTGTCCCCTGACAACTACTAATCTGTCATCCACTTATAGTTTTGTCATTTTGAGAATGGTATGTTAATTTAATCTTGAAGTACTGTCATGATTTGAGTATTTTCCAAGGGTTATAAAACTTTGTCCTCAGTGTGGCAATGTTGGGAGGTGGTAGAACTTTAAGAGCCAGAAATGAGTGGGAGGTAATTAGGTTACCATGGGTGTGCTCTTAGAAGGGACTTGAAGTCTCATCATTAGCTTCCTGTCTGTCTTGCCACATGATCTCCCTTCTCAAATGTACTCCTAACATTGTGATGATGCATGTAACATAAAGTCTTCACCAGAGTCAAGCAGCAGCCTGCACCATGCCCTTGAACTCCTACTGCTATGGGCAAAGTATCTTTTTTTATAAATCCTAGCCTCAGATATTTGGTTATAACAGAAACCAGAGTGATACAGGTATAGAATCTTTTGAGATCAACTTCTTCATTAGGCATAATGCTTTCTGCTCGGTGTGGTGGCATATACTTCTAATCCCAACTACCCAGAAGGCTGAGACAGGAAGAATGTCAGTTCAAGGGCAGCTGGGGCAACATAGTATTTTATTTCAAAATAAATAATAAAAGAAGGGTGGGGATGTATCTCAGTGTAAAGTCATTCCTCAGGTCTACCAAAAAACAACAACAAAACTACACAATGACCTTGAGATCCATGTAAATTACTATGTTATCAATAGTTCATTCACTTTTTATTGCTGAGTGATCAATATTTTTAAGTTTTGGAAAAGTAAAATAATTTAAATTTCCAATTAAACTGTATCTTAATGCACTGACTTAGAACATTTGGGGATTTTAATGCATGTTTGGCACTGATTTAAACTGATACACCATAAATCTTCCACCTATTCATTCAAACAAAAGTAGATTATAATATATACACATTATAAATGACACCTTGAAGAAAAGTATCCATGTGACTTACCCCATCCAGGTGGCAAAGGACCAAGGGGATCAAATTCTTTATTTTGTGATGTAGCAAATAAATCTTGATTCTACAAATAAGAAAATGGTGAAATAATAAACATTATTTCAGAGCAAGCTTAAATTATTTGAAAGTAGCAGTAAATGTTTAAAATTTTTACTTTGACTAACTCTTCTATGTTAATATCTGTAATCTGAGCATGAAATCACAGATCTCATGAGGACATCATTGAGGACAGCAATGTGCAATATAACAACCATGGTTACTTTTCATCTTGTTCATTCATTCATTCATTCATTCATTCATTCATTCATGTATTTGGTACAGGGTCTATAGGGTGCTCAGGGTCTCACTACGTAGCCTGGACCCCTAGTGACTCTCCTGTGTTCAACCTCTCAAAAGCTGGGATTACAGGCTTGTACCACCACGCCCAGTCCTAATAGTCATCTCAGCCCCCCACCCCCAGGATTGAACCCCTAGCCCCTGTGTCGGCATAAGCAAATCTTGTTCTTTTAAATGTGTATTATCTCTAATGTCTTATCCATTATTATACTCCCTTTTTTTATTTTTTCATTTTTTGGTGGAACCGGGGATTAAACTCAGGCCCTTGCACTTGCCAGGCAACTGCTTACTCTACTGAGCTGTCTCCCCAGCCCTATACACCCTTTAAAATAAATTTAAAAATAAAAGCTAAAAAGGACAAGGAAAAAAAATAAGGTTTATTAAAAGGAAGAGTTAATGTTTAATTGATCAGTCCTGCATATCTATACCTGGTAATCTGGGCAACAAATTTGATAACCATTGTTAATTTTCTATTCTTGTTTTGAAATTCTGTGGCATTTGTATTATTTTATGTTGCTTTGTTTCTATTGGTATTTTTCCCCCTCTCTTTAAAATAAAAAAAGAGGGCCAGGGAGATAGCTAACTGGTCTAAATGCCTGCTTAGGCAAGCTTAGGCAAGAGCAGGAACCCCAGGGACCATGGTTCAAGCCCCGACCCCAGGGCAGGCTGAGCCAGCCACAAAAATAAAAAAGCTATTAACTAGCTGGGAATGGTGGCACACCCTTGTAATCCCAGCACTCAGGTTTGTTGCAAATTCAAGGCTAGCCTGCATTACAAAGTGAGCTCGAGGTCAAGCCTGAACTGCATAGCAAGACTGTCTCAAAAAAAAAAAAAAAAAAAAAAAAAAAGCTATTACTAGAGCTGGGTATTCAGCTCAGTGGTACAGCACATGCCTGAAAACTTTGAGTTCCTTATTTTGATTTCCACTACCCCTCCCCCTAAAAAATGCTCTGTTAGCAGGAAGTACCTAGAAAGAGTCCTTGACCCTTTTAACAACAAAAAGACAAAAAATGGTGGATCTGGGCCCATGCAGCAGTCCACTGGGTCATCATGGCAGTAAGTCAGCATGGTGTGGGAACAGAACCAACGAGGAAACTAACTTCTGTCTTGTTTCCCCAGGTTAACTGCAAACTTCCTCTTTCACTTTTTCGCATGTGCCAAGCCTTCTCCAGTCAGTGCCCACACCATATGGCCCATGCAAGCTCCACTCCCAACCCAGCCTGATAAATTCTTTGTCTCCCTGCCTTCTCCCTCAGGGACCTTGCTTCTCTTTGGCAGCCCTCCTGCACCAAGCAATAAATGCAACCCAGCCTGATAAATTCTTTGTCTCCCTGCCTTCTCCCTCAGGGACCTTGCTTCTCTTTGGCAGCCCTCCTGCACCAAGCAATAAATGATATACTTTCTCCCGCTTCTCTTTTGCACCAAAGGAAAGAATGTTACACTCATTTGGGCAGCTAATATATTAAAATGGAAAATGACATAGCTATTGTAATGTTCCTCACCACAGCCTGCCCTGAATTCTCCAGGGTGCACTTTTATCTTCCTTTTTTTTCTTTTATTCAGCCCAAGCTCAGTCTGCAAAGCCAGTTTCTCCCTTTCCACTTTCATTTTTTTTTTTTTTTAATATACTTTGTCACTAGTTTTTCTTTTTGCTTTTTTTTTTTTTTTTTTTCCACTTGCTTGCTTGGTTCAATTCTTTAAAGTAAGAAGAGGGCCAGGAATATAGGTCAGCGGCACAAGTGCCTGCTTGGCAAGTGCAAGGTCCTGAGTTTGAGTCCCTGGCACAAAAAGAGAGGGGAGGGCGGGGAGGGCAGGGGGAGGGGGAAGGGAAGGGGGAGAAGAGAGAGCAAAAGTGAGCGAGAGAACAAGAGAGCGAGAGAGCTAGCGCACATGCATGTGCCTGGAATCCAACTCCAGAAGGAGAGGTGAGCAACCCAAAACCTGATGTTTATTTGGTTAGCCACTCTTAGAAGGTGCTGCAACAAGACTATGGAGAAAAGGGGGGGAAAAAAAAGCCTAATTAAAGACTATGAAAGGGGCTGGTGAGATGGCTCAGTGGTCTAAAGCACCTACTTAGTACAAGCTAAGCTAAGCAAAAACACAGGAACCGCGGTTCAATCCCCCAGCACCACATGCCAGCCAGCCCCGCCCCTCTGGTGGGCTGAGCTGGCCACACACACACACCCACACACACCCACACACGCAATAAATAAATAAATAAATAAAAATAAAGACTATGAAAGAAGGGTTGGCCAGATAGCTCAGAAGATTAAAGCACCTGCTTAGGCAGACGCAGGGGCCAGGGGTTCCAGGGGTTCGATCCCCAGGCCTGCCGTACAGACACAACCCCCAGGACCCACTGAGAAGTAACTGAGACTGGGCTGGGCGTGGTGGCACAAGCCTGTAATCTCAACTCTTGGGAGGCTATTAACAGGAGGATCACTATGAGTCTGATTTCCATAGTGAGACCCTGTAGACCCTGTACTAATACATTAAAAAAAAAAGAAAAAGAAAAAGAAGAAAAAGACTATGAAAGATATTGTTTTACTCTGGTGGACTCTAACAGGGCTGATACCAACATCAGTGAAGATGATAGCATTGGAGAGCATCAGTGTCTCTAAAATGACTGCAGTTGGTTTTCTATTTTTTTTTATTTAATTTTTAAAACTATTTATCTATTGGGGCTGGCAAGATGGCTCAGTGGTCTAAAGCACCTACTGGGAACAAGCTTGGGAAAGCACAGGGACCACGGTTCGATCCCCCAGCACCACATGCCAGCCAGCCGCGCCCCCTGGTGGGCTGAGCTGGCCACACACACACACACACACACACATAAATAAATGTTTAAAATTAATTTAAAAAAATAAATAAAAAAAAAACTATTTATCTATCTATTTATTTATTTATTTTTTAGAAAGGGTCTTACTACATGGTTGAGGCTAGCCTTAAACTCACTAGGTAACCTAGGCCTACTTCCAATTCATGGTGATCCTCCTGCCTCAGCCTCCCAAGTGCTGAGATTACAGGAATGTGCTATCATAATTGGCTGCAGCTGATTTTCTTGTTTAAATTCTACATGTTACACAAATTCACCTTGTTTGGCACAGAGTATCAAGTTTCTTATCAAACTAGTCACTGCTGGGCATACTAGCAACCACCTAGTATCCTAGCATTTTGGAGGCTGAAGCAGCAGGATTGTTGCAAGGCCAGCCTGGGCTACACTGTAAGACTGTCTCAAAAAAAGAAAAACAAAAATATACCAAACCAGGGGCCGGGGAGATGGCTCAGTAGGATAAGCGCTTGACTGGCAAATGCAAGGATCTGAGTTCAATCCCCAGTTTAAAAAAAAAAAAAAAATTACTGGGGTAAATTTTCTTCTTAAATGTTAAAAAGTAATTCAGCTCCATTAATTCTGTACAGCTACTTAAAAGTCAGGTTTTCTGAGACTGAAGTGTTCAAATATTCTAATCAATTAAAGACAGGCATACTTAGAATTGTTTCATTCTTTTCAAACTGCTTAGGTCTATTTTAATCCTTTTATTCATGAATTTTAAGTTGTCCTACCTCTTATTTTTGGTTTATTTTTTTAACAATAATAAAGGAAAGGGGGTTGAACTTCAGAAAATTACAGAAAGGAAAGAATAGCCCACATACATAGAATACTCCAGATAAGTCTAAAAATAATATTGCTAAAAGTAATACTAACAGCAATAACTGGATTATCAACTCCTATATGAACCATCATTTTAGTGCTTTACATACATATGCAGGAAATGCTTAAAATCTGAATTAGTTTTTTTTTTTTTTTTGACTTAGTTATTATAATCAATATGTCAACAGACTGCTCACCCCATAAATGAATCTCTGGTTAAACTGCTGCATTGCTCCTTGCAGTTGACTACGCTGTAGCTGCCACTGCTCATAGTTCCGGACAGACTCTACTGTTGGCCTCTGCCATGTTGTTGTTCTTGTGAAATGGTCAACATAATAAATACGCCCCACGTTGTCAACCCGCCTTTCCCAACTAAATCAGAACAAAAACAAATTAATTCAATGAATACCTGCAAAATAGAAGATATTACCTTGAGAAACTACTTCTCTCTTTTTTTTAACTACTTTTGATTTACCTTATTACATATTTTTTCTATTGTAAGTGAAATTAAAAGGAACGTTTCCAAAACTGTATTTGGTAAAAATCCTTAAGATGTCGTATCTGTATCTTTCAAATTTAAAGCATAGTTAGTCTCTAAAAAGTAATTAAGAAAAAAGTTGTTTCTTTTCAATGATCCTTTTGCTGCTGTAATCACAATAGGCATACAACTTGCATATAAAGCTTTCACAGGGGCTGGGGAGATGGCTCAGTAGGATAAGTGCTTGACTGGCAAACACAAGGATCTGAGTTCAATCCCCAGTTCCGCAAAAAAAAAAAAGCTTTCACAGACAACAAAAACTACTTTTGCACAAGAATATAATTACCTTCTACTTAAGTAAAGTCTGATACAATTAGGTGGATGATTTCTACTTAGGAGACCCTTTAGAACTGCTTCCAATATTTTGACATTATAAATAAAATACTTTCAATACATCAAACTTTCTTTTGAATTATTGCTTTAGGATAAATTTCCTACAGGAAATTACTAAGGATATATATTATTATGAAGAGATTTCTATAAGAAGTATTATTAATTTATTCTATGGGGGGCAGATAGCTCAGCAATAAGCACCTGTCTGGCAAGCACAAGGTCCTGAGTTCAATATCCGGTGCCAAAAAAAGTATATATAACACACTATTATCAGAAATGTTAAAATAAATAAATAAAATGTTCCTCACCATCATTTGGCATTTATGTAATTTAATAAGCAAAACAGTAACTTTTAAGAGTATGTTGGGGCTGGGGAGATGGCTCAGTAGGATAAGCGCTTGACTGACAAATGCAAGGATCTGAGTTCAATCCCTGGTTCCACAAAAAAAAAAAAAAAAAAAGTATGTTTTCAAGGTTGCATGGCTGGGGAGATAGCTCAGTGAGCCAGGGAGATAGTTTAGTAGAATAAGCACCTGCCTGGCAAGCATAGGGTCCTAGTTCAATCCCCAGCACCGCAAAAACAAAACAAAAAAACAAGGTTGCATATTTTTCCATGTTTGCTACAGACCTCCAAGATCTAAAAAATATCTTTTCATCCAATTATTTTATGTAATATAAATGTTTAATATCATGTATTAATATATCCCAACTTTCCCAATTACTCTGCAAAAGATTATATACTAAATTTTTCTATCACAACTTTATTGTAACGTATAGGTGATGGCAGCTATAATTTTTATTCAGTTAAATAATTACTTTTGAAAAAACTAATCTTAAAATTTCGTTGCTGGGAGCCAGGTAAACAGTTTAGACAATAAATATGTGGAAGTTTTTTGTTGTTTTTGAGGTGCTGGGGTTTGAACTTAGGACTTTACACATGTAGCAAAGTACTCTACCACTGGATTTTATCCCCAACCCAGAAAATCCGAAGAGCTGTTGAATCTGTAGGTCAGAAATTGGTGAAAACAGAATCATTCATTATGTCCTGTGAATAAATTCTCTATCTTTTAAGATTACACCTACCACTGAACAAAGTGAATCAAAGACTGAAAGGAAGAAAATTAAGGATGATGGGAAGCTGTATATAGTGACAACTCTTATTTCTGAATAAATACTTGTTTACGAAATATAAATTGAGATACTTACCCAGGAGGTAGAGGTTCAGGTCTATCCCACGTTGTTCTTTTTTCTACATGATCTACATAATAAACACGCCCACTGTGGTCCACTCTCTGTTCCCACCTTAAACACAACATAAAAAGAATAGCAAGGCATATGCGTGAGCAGTTTGGGTTTTCCCTAAAATGACCATATCACATATACAACTGAAGAAAACAAATATTCTAATGCATAAAAAAATACTAATAGAATTTAAATAAGGTCAGAAATGTCATCTTCGGAGCTGGGGAGATGACTCAGTGGAATAAGTGCTTGTCTGTCAAGGGGAGGGGCCTGAGTTCAATCCCCAGTTCTGCCAAAAAAAAAAAGCTACTCCTAGAAATGTCATCTTCTACGGATGACACAGAACAGGTGAGATTTCTTCAATATAAATATCTATTCTAGGAGACAACTTGTATTTCTAGTTGACATCAGTCCACCAAAGAGACCTAAGTCAATCTCGGTTTGGCCAAATTATAGTCAGGATTTGAGTGGAAGTTTACAGACTGCCCCACGTACGAATTCTAGTAGGCTTATTTCCTAAATGAAGACAAGTAAAGCACCACAGCTTGGAAGTTCCAATAATTTCTAAGAACACTCAGTTCATCTTTAAACACAACTTTCAAATTTAGTCTCTTGGGCCGGGGAGATGGCTCAGTGGAATAAGTGCTTCCCTGGCAAGCGCAAGGGCCTGAGTTCAATCCCCGGTTCCGCAAAAAAAAAAAAAAAAAATTTAGTCTCTTAGATAAGTTTTCAAAAAGAGCCAAATACCGATATATTATACTCTGTGTAACAACTAAAATTCTCATCATGAAAGCTTATTACATTATCAGTCAATTAATTATGATTAAAACTCTTGAGGGCTGGATTAAATTTAAAGACTATAATGTTTGTAATATATACATATAAAAATTATACTTAAAAGAGTACTTTTCCAGAAAAAGAGTATTTTTCATTTATAAAATGAACTACATTTAATAAGTAAAAGTTAAAAAGGAATTATGAGTACCAATTTCCCCAGTTTATTTATTTTTTTGGCAGAACCGGGGATTGAACTGAGGCCCTTACGCTTGCCAGGGAAGCGCTTATTCCACTGAGCCATCTCCCCGGCCCCAATTTCCCCAGTTTAAATTATCTATTATTACTTTCTTATAATGACTATGATAAAAAAGTTATTTTGACTTTAAGATGGGATTTTACTTCTTCCCTCCAAGGGAAAAGAAAACCTGAATTACATGATTATTTTATTCCTTGGTCTTGGATAGCTTTCTATGATTCAGGGTCCTTCAATTTAAAAAAAATACTCTATTTTGCTTTAGAAATGAGGTATGAAATTTACAAACACAAATTTAACTTCTTTAAATTTTGAAAGTCCCAAAATCAATTACAATTCCTTGAAGATAATTATTAACAAAATGCAGTATTGTTTTCCTAAATAATATATACATGCAGAAGCCTAAAGAAAACAAATGTGAACCAAAAAGGTTATTTACCCAGGTGGTAGGGGAGCTTGAGTTACAGGATTTAATGGCCTGGGGCCTGAGCCTCCAGATATAGTAAGAGGAATTATTAATCCAGATGCTGTTCCTTCAGATGTATTTGTATTTGTGTTTGCTGGTGGCAGAGAACCTGTACTAGATCCATCACTTTCAGAAGTGGCAGATGGTGAACCATTGACAGACACTATAAAAAAGATTGGGGTAAAAAGGAAGAGAAAATTTTTTATTTTCTAAAACCTAAAATCACAATAGAATTAAACTTTAACATCATCACATTCTAACCAATTGAGCTAATGATTAGGTGAGAATTTAACTTTAAAAATAAAAGATACATAACAAAATTTAAGATGTGGAAACACAGTTAAAAATTAAACAAAATAATGGCAGATAGCCAATGTTCTTGCTTACTAGACTTATGTACAACTTCTTAATTCCCATTTATCCTATGCCATATTTTTAAGTATAAAGCATATGCAGATTCTGATTTCATGATACTTCTGGAAATAAAAAAATGTATTGGCTGATGATTGTGTTCATGATCAAACCCAGGGCCTTGAGCATGTTATTGAAATGCTTGTCTTTTTTTTTTTTTTTGGCAGAACCAGGGATTGAACTCAGGCCCTTGCGCTTGCCAGGGAAGCACTTATTCCACTGAGCCATCTCTCCAGCCCCTATGCTAGTCTATCGAGCTATAACCCCAGCCCAATAAAAATTTTTAGAATAAGAAAGCATTCATATTGCTTGGTATTTTAAGATCATTTAGTAACTTCTCAGATCTTTAATTTCCTATGAAACCATGTAATTTAGAGACTAATTTCTTTTTTAAATTTATTTGGTGTAGGGTCTTGCTATGCAGCTCAAACTTGTAGTGATCTTCCTGTTTTCAGCCTCCCCACTACTGGGATTACAGGCACGCACCACCATGATGGGACCCAGTGGCTGGCTCAGCACGCTCAGAGCCAGGGCTGACGTGGCATGTGGTGCCAGGGATCAAACCCTGGTCCCTGTACTTGCCCAAGCAGGTGCTTAGTCCACTTAGCTATCTCGCTAGCCCAATCTGTTTTTATTTTTGTTTTGTGATACACAGAATTGAACACAAGACCTGGCACATGGTATGCAAACAATGTACCACTAAATACTAAACTACATACATTCCAACGGTTTTGAGACAAGGTCTCATTAACTTGCCCAGACTGAGCCTACACTTTCAGTCTTCATTAGTCTCTGGAGAAAGTGGCATTACAGGTGGATACCACCATGTCTAGCTAGATAAGTTTTGATACTAGTTGTAAGATGATTGATCTGATTGGTGAACTATACTCTTACAAACAGCCCCTGAGTACATCTTCAAGAAATACCTGCTGACAATTTTTTGTTGTTGCTGTTTTAGTTGGAGCTTCACTATGCAGTTCAGACTGGCCTTGAACTGTGTAGTCCAGGCTGGCCTTGAACTCACAGGCATCCTATCTCAGCCTCCTTCATGCTATTATAACTGGAGTGCCACCAAACCTGGCCCTTAACAATTCTTAAAGAAGTCATTATTATAACAAAGAAGATGTATGATCTTAAAGACCTATGATATATTATTAACACAGCTATGGAGAATGAGAAGATACAAATTCCAATATAAACTCACTTAATAAAATGATTCGTGTATTTATTGCCTACTCCTTTCTACTTTGAAAATTCTAATTATATGAATATAAGTTTCTTGGTTGTGACACAGTGAACTATTATAACTGATCTGTAAATTCTTCATTTTTATTTTGGACAATTTTATTGTTATATTCATTTATGTTTGTGAATAATTTTTTTCAATTTGCAATCTATTAAAAAAATTAAATAAAAATAAAATGATTTTAATTGGAAAGATTCTCACCCTGACTAACTATATATACTGATACCTGGGAACTAAGCTACTGCACTGCAGATGGTAATTTGTAACAGTTGTTTCATGATGGGAGTGCCTGTCATTGTGGTATTCTGAATATGGGCGGCTTGTCATGACATGCCATTTACTGCTAAGATGTCTCTCGGGTAGATGGATGTTCAAGAAGAAGGTGGTGGTGAAGGAAAGCAAGAAACAGGAAAAGGAATATTGTGGGACTGTCCTGCTTCTAGGTTGTGTATGGTGAGATTTTTGGACTTATGTGCAAACATGAGAAGCATAGAATTCTTTATCCTATTTTTTAAAATATAATCTAATTTTTAAATGTTTTTTTTATCATATTCTGTAGGGACTTAAAGTTCAACATATCAATACTTGATGAAAAATACCTGTTCCTTATTATGCCTAAGATGTTTGAAATGCAGTGAGATAGTGAGGTTAAGATTGATAGCCCAAATCATTTGATAATAACAATAAGCTTTTCTTCTGAATGGTTAACAACCTAAGTTTGCAGACCAAAATTAGAGAAAAAGGAGGGATACAAGGAAAGCCAACATTTTGGCCCTAGCCTTCTAAGGTCAATTAAGACTCAGGACATATGAGAACTTGTACTGTAATGTCATGTACCTCGGTAGTGTCCCAAATTTTCTGATCAAGAAGATTATGGGGCCAAAGAGGAAAGTGATCGATGACATAGAGTGTGCCTAAGGAGAGTCACATGGGGAGAAGATACTCTCTCAGGCTTTCACAGAGAGCACATTGGCCAAGCATTGGCCGTGACTCATCCACATGGCTGCACCGATAAAGGTTCTACAATCTGAGGTACAGGATCTCAGGACAAATCCTGAGGGCATTTCACTGACCTTCTCAGACCAAAAAGCTACAACTCTTGTTGCATAGGTCCTGCTTTACCTTGGTCTTAACCATCCAGCAGAAAAGTATGAAGACAAAATTATAAGAAATAAAGCCATGCTGTTAAGTTGAGCTGTGGGTGACTCAGGTCAATAATTTCTGACATTGCCAGTTAAACAGAAGACCCAATACTATTATGGGCTACTGGACTCTTCTAGAATATTTTGCTGAGTTTACATACCTATAATATTCAATAACGGAACTTAGAAAAAATGGGGTATACAGATGAATGTCCATTTTGTATCTGTGTATTCAAAGTGGTTGGGATAGATATATAGTTACATTCTGTTAATGAATAGAATGATTTGTTCTAATGGTGTTTGTAAACAGGATCTCAAGTCCGCATCTTGTACAGCAATTAACCACTAAGAAGAATATATGCAGTGTATTATTTGTTGAAAAATAAAAAAAAAAATAATAATAAAATAAAATAAAAGAAAAAGAAAACAGGAAAAAAAATAAAAAAAAAAAATGATTTGTGGACCACCAATTTATTTTTCTGATAGTATTTGGTTTAATTGTTTTGCATTCCCTACCCACACACTATCAGAGGAAAATAGTAGAATTTAAGATTTAAGATTTGTTCTGGCTAACAGGAAAGAAATATTCTATCTATAGATGTTTACTTTGATACTACCTAAAATGTCTCCATTTGTATTACATTTTTTGCTTTAAAACATGATTGTTGCCAGGCATGGTCTCAGCACTTAGGAGGCTAAGGCAGGAGGATTTCTATGAGTTCAAGACCAGTCTAGGATACAAAGTAAATTCAAGGCCTGCCTGAAATACACAGCCAGACCCTGTCTCAAAAAGACAAAATTTTAGGGGCCGGGGAGATGGCTCAGTAGAATAAGTGCTTCCCTGTCAAGCGCAAGGACCTGAGTTCAATCTCCGGTTCTGGAAAAAAAAAAAAAAAAAAACTTTTAAAAAATAAAAAAATTTTAGAAGACCAAATAAATAAATAAAATGTGATTTCATTTACCATTGCTGGGGTATTTGACATTTACTAATTGTCGTTTTGCTTGTAATCCCAGCATTAGAAGGTTGAGGCAGGAGAACTATTGTGAATTTGAGGCCAGCTTGGGTTACATAGTGAGTTCAAGGCCAGCATAGAAAACAGAGCAACATACATGCCAGCCAGCCCGCCCCCTGGTGGGCTGAGCTGGCC